GTTACTTTTGGTAATAGTCTTTGTCACAGAAATAGGAACTACTACAGTCAGTAATCAAAGATTTTATTTCAGTAATGAAAGCAAAAGAATTAACTGATGTTTGTATTCATGTATCTAAACTTTATTTTTGAAGTATTGACTTTAATATTGGCTTAACATTTATTTATACTTTTATCCTTCTATTTCAGTATCAGATATAGAAGGTGGTGATGGACTGCAGCTCAGAAAGGAACATACTCTCAAAATATTTGCTTATATCAATTCCTGGACTCAGAGGTATGCAGTTGTAGGTATTTTGAAGACTAACTTGGTGAATTGTATAAATTGCCATTAATTGTCATTAGATTTTCTTTTAGGATGTTTTATTACATGTTATTCTTTGTACTCATGGTAGTTATCAATATTCAGTCATTTTAACTTTTCCTTAATCATGGGCTTGATTATGACATTGTTTTTAAAACAACATAAAAATTGTTTTTTTCTTTTTTTTTTTTTTCTTTTAAGACAGGGTTTCTCTGTGTAACAGCCCTAGCTGTCCTGGAACTTGCTCTGTAGCCTTGAACTCACAGAGATCCACCTGTCTCTGCCTCCCAAGTGCTGGAATTAAAGGCTTGCGCTGCCACCACTGCCCGGTTTATTTTTGATTTTCTTTCTTTTACCTTTCCCTCATTTTTTTTTTTTAGGAATGAGTTACTAAAATTTAGAAAGATATTTTGAGCTATCTATCTATCTATCTATCTATCTATCTATCTATCTATCTACTTATCTATGTCAATTATTTTGAGAGATAAGAGATTGTTTTTTGTTTGTTTGTTTTTGTATTTTGAGATGGGGTTTCACTGTGTAGCCTTGGTGTCCTGGAACTTGCTCTATAGACCAGGCGGGTCTTGAACTCAGAGAATGTTTTACCTCTGCCTCCAGAGTGCTGGTATCAAAGGTTTGTGCCACCACCACCCTGTTGATAAGAAAATTTTTATAGAAAGCTCAAAGCTTATAGCAAACTTAAATTAAAACTATCTTCATTGTGGTAACATATTATGAAGCCATTTGCTGCTTGTTCTTTTTTATTATGCACATTAGTTCAATTTTTATGTAATATGTAAGTTGGGAATAAATAGAACAAAACTCCCAAGAATCATAGCTGTTAATATAATCAGTTTGAAAAAAAAAAAAACAACTAAATTTCTGTCTCTGTGATTTTAATTGGTGGTGGCAAACAATCTTAACAGTGCTGAAGTTCAATGCCAGTCTATTAACTGCTGGGCTTTACCACTGAGTTATATGCCCAGCCTTCTAGTAGTTTTTCAGGGGAGATAAGGGTTGACTTTAAATTCAAGGCCTTGTATATACTAAACAACTATTTAGTGTAAGTCCTCAGCCCCTCACTAAATATCTTTTCACTTGTGTGTTTTGCCTAATTAGAACTAGTCTTCTTTAAAGTTTTATGAGTTAAAAAAATGTTGGATGTGGGACAGAGAGCTGTTTCAGGGGTAAAAAACTTCTGCTACCAAACCTGATAGCTAAGGCTCAGATCAGGGGCATTGGTAAGGTAGAAGAGGAGAACTGTTCCACAAGTTGTTCTGACTTCCTTACATGTGTATGGCACCTGTACATTAATGCACACATGTGCAGGGACACACCCAGTCTATGTATATAAACTTTTTTTGAGATAGGATCTCACTGTGTAGCTGTGGCTATCATGGAACTCACTATATAGGCTTACTAGCCTTGAACTCACAGAAATTTGCTTGTTTCTGCCTCCTAAGTGCTAGGATTAAAAGTGTATGCCACTACACTGGGCAATAAATAGAATATTTTAAAAAATATTTGAAGGGCCTGGCGGTGGTGGCGCACGCCTTTAATCCCAGCACTCGGGAGGCAGAGGCAGGCCAGCCTGGTCTACAAGAGCTAGTTCCAGGACAGGCTCCAAAACCACAGAGAAACCCTGTCTCGAAAAACCAAAAAAAAAAAAAAAATTGAAGTATTATAGTAAGGATCAATAAGTATGCTACATCTTATAACATTTTATATATAAAGTTTGTCTGATAATAAAGAGTTTAAGCTGGCCACTGGTGGCATATGCCTTAATCCAAGTACTCAGGAAGCAGAGGGAGATGGATCTCTGAGTTCAGATCAACTTGATCTACAGAGCACGTTCTAGGAAGGCCAGGGCTACACAGAAAAACCCTGTCTTGAAAAAGCCAAAGGGGGAAAAATTTAGTTTCAAATTTCAGCTATTCTGCAATGGATATTTTTACAGTATTTTTCTTTTAGTAAAATCCGCAGTTTTTGGGAAAAGTTAGTGGGTTTTAAGTACTTAAAACTTAAATTCAAGGTTGATGCTGACATCTCTTCTAAATACCAACCAGATAGATTGTTTCGGACTAGGTTGTTATTGCTTTCATTATGAGTAGACTAGATGTATATATATTTTATATTGATATGTTAGTTTAAAATGTAATAATTAAAGATATTTGCTCAGTCATAATTTTGAATCTGTTGTAGCTATAGCTAGATGCCCACATAATACGCATCTACTAGAAAAACATAGAACTTATAATTTCAGAATGTATTGGGTACACCCGAATAAGGTGAAATCCATAGAAGTAATAATAGTTTTCCTAATATCTTACTTAAAGTTATTAATGGAGCTGGGGTTATTACAATTTCATGTTTTAATTTATACTAGTAGATATTAGAGATATTATATTTTTTTAATGTAGAGTCTGTGAACAAAGAAATAGTTGGGCGGTAGTAGTGTACTCCTTTAATCCCAGCACTCTGGAGGTAGAGTTTGAGGCCAGTCTGGTCGACGGAGTGACAGCTAGGACTACACAGAGAAGTCTTGTCTCAGAAAACAAAAAAAAGGTTTCAAAGAAATTTTATAAATGGGGCTGGAGAGATGGCTCAGGGGTTAAGAGCTTTGCCTGCTTTTCCAGAGTTCCTGAGTTCAAGTCCCAGCAATCACATGGTGGTTCACAACCATATGCACTGAGGTTTGCTGCCCTCTTCTGGCCTGCAGGGATAACACACAGGCAGAATACTGTATACATAATAAATAATTTTTTAAAAAAAAGAAATTTTATAAATGAAGAAAAAAAAATAGTGAAATTATAAAGGAAATCTTGATATGTGCAACTATAAGCAATAATTAATAGGCTTTATCAGAATACCCAAATTTGCCCTCAAATTAATGAGAACCTCTGCTTGATCACCTAAAATACCTGGAGGGTGGCTTTGGAGCTAGATAGGTGTGGATGAAAGTTTTATGCTTCATCATCTATGAACTAGGTAGTGGACAAATTATTTCACTTCTGTAAGGTTGTTTTTTTCAAGACAGGGTTTCTCTGTGGCTTTGGTGCTTGTCCTGGAATTAACTCTTGTAGACCAGATTGGCCTCACAGAGATCCGCCTACCTCTGCCTCCTGAGTGCTGGGATTAAAGGTGTGCGCCACCACCGCCCGGCTCACTTCTTCATTTGTGAATTACAGTGATACTGTTGCTTAGTTAGAAAAAAAGAAAAAACCCACAAAATGCTCATTTAGCACTGTATTTAGAATTTTATTTCCTTAGCTGGGTGGGGTGATGCAAACATTTAATCCCAGCACTTGAAAGGCAGAACAGGCAAATCTCTCTGTGAGTTTGAGGCCAACTGAATCTATATATTGCGAGTTCCAGGATAGCCAGAGCTGCATAGTGGGACCTTGTCTCAAAAAAACAAACACAGAAGTTATTTATTATTTTATGTAAATGGATGTTTTGCCTGTGTGTACGATGAATACAGAAGAGAGCAATGGATTCCCTGTGACCGAAGTTACAGCTATCAGCTACCATGTGGGTGCTGGGGCTTTTCTGGAAGAGCAGCCAGTATTCTTAACTTGTTTATTATTTTTATTTTATGTTTGATACATTGTCTCACTGTGTAGCCTTGCTTGGCCTAGAACTCACAGAGACCTGTCTACTTCTATCTTCTGGGATTAAAGACTTGACCTGCCCTCCCTGACTTGTTCTTATACTCTTAATTGTTTATGCTGGTAGACTAGAGAAGGGCTAACAGTAGCATCCAGTCATTTTCTACAAACTTTACTCATTCTTCATCCACTTTTTCTTTTCGTTTCTTTTTTTTTTTTGGTTTTTCAATATAGGGTTTCTTTGTGTAACAGCTCGCTGTCCTGGAACTGATTTTGTATAGCTGGCTTTGAGCTCACAGAGATCCCCCTACCTCTGCCTCCCAAGTGCTGAATTTAAAGGTGTGCATCACCACCACCTGGCTTGTTATTTTCTTTTTTAAAGATTTATTTATTATGTATACAATGTTCTGTCTGCTTGTGTGCCTACATGCCAGAAGAGGGCACCAGAACTCATTACAGATGGTTGTGAGCCACCATGTGGTTGAAGGGAATTGAACTCAGGACCTCTGGAAGGAAAGTCAGTGCTCTTAACCTCTGAGCCATCTCTCCAGCCCCCGCTTGTTATTTTCTTATACTTAAATGTTATTGACTAACTTTAAGATTGTGCTTCTTTCATGGGGTCAATACCTATTAACAATTAGCCTACAAAAAAGATTAGGTTGAGTACAATAAAAAGATAAATTGGTAATAATTTGGTGACCTTTTGTGGAGAAGTGTTTATAGCCTTCATATAATATCAGTAGAATAGGATGGACATAATATAGCTGAGTATGTTCAACATTTGTGAGAACCCTGGGTTTGATTTCTGTCACCACATACAACACAAAATGATAGTAGATGCATGTTGTGGAATTCTAGTACAGTCCTAGGAAGTTATCTTACTTAGAGTTCTTCATGAGTATTTACTTACTACTAAAATTAATTGGAGCTGCATGTTTTATGCTATCACTGCATTCAAAAGGCTTATTAGCCTGTGTATGTCTGATGTGTTCATGAGAATATGCAAGTTTTGTCATCCTTCTATGGTTTCAGGGATTGGACTCAGGTCGTTAGTATTGTATAGCAAGTGCTTTACCCACCAAGCTTTCTTACAAGCCCTCACTACATGTGTTTAAGTATAAATTTAAATTCAGATGGGAAGCGTATCATTTACTTGGGTAATAAATTCATAACCAGGCTGGAAATACTAGATGTAGGATGGATAAAAAGATAGGAAAGGTATGTGTGATGCAGAAGAATAAATACAAGAAATCTATATGTATTTCTTTTTTATTCATTTTACAACAACCACAGTTTCCCCTCCCATCCTCTTCCCGCTCACCCCCTCAACCCACTCCCCATCCACTCTTCTGAAAAGGTCAGGTC